AGCATAAGTGCGGAAGAAAGATCAGTCTGCGTCTTATCTACTAGACAATTAAAACCTTTTTCGAAGAAAGAACGCCGAGACAGGTGCATTAATGTAGGCAGTGTCGTATGGCAAATGCTCGTATTACCTATTTGTGAGGCATATGCATGTTGGATTATGGATACGAGATCAGGCACAGGTTAATATCTCCAGCAGACAGCAAAACGGCAACGTTTATAGCTGTGGTCGAGGGTTATATTTTGTTTGAGTGATGAGACGGCAGTCTGGGAATCACTATCGTTGAAAATCGAGTTTGCAAGTTTTCTTGTTGTAATCACTGCTGCACATAGACGCGGGTCTTAATTATAAGTTATAAGAGGCTTTTATCTATGCCTCATCGAGTGAACGTGTTTCCCCGTTGGTTTTGTAATTACAGGACGGAGCGGAATAGCCCGCCATTTGGCGAAATGTCCTACTCAGCACACTATGGACGATTATTGACGGGCGTAGTGGCAAACATTTTGAGATTTTCAAAAAATATACGCCCTTCTATTGGTCTCTTTAATTTCCTCGGAAATAAGTGTGCGAATTTAGAAAAAAGTTCCCAGCACAAATACCCTCAAGTTCAGTCTGATAGTTGACACAAGTATTTGAAATCTGAGGAGAAAGAATTGCTCACCGGATCGGGGGACTTTTCTGGCTGACGTTTCGAAGAGCTGGGGCTGCTCTCCATTGTCAAAGCGTCAAGTGAAAAAATCGATCAGCATTTTTAAATAGACTGCCGCATTAGTTGGCCCTGGGCTGATCGATTTTTTTTCTTCCTTCTCTGCCTCGGCCTACTGGCCGTCGCCTGTGAATGTTGGTGGCCTCCTGTAATACGTGTCGTCACCTCAACTGGGGTTGGTTGCGTTTGCTTTCCCCCGGATCTCTTACTTTTGCTAACCTGAGTATTTGAAATGAAATCCATGTGGTGCAACGGAATAACCGCGCGATATTCAGTCTGCCAACAAACAGTTAGTATTACGTTAATACTTGTTTATTAATCACATCCCAAAAAGGGATACTAGCTAAAACCTGTACCGGGAGTGCGGAAAGTCAGTCAGTAATGAGACACTAGCTTTTTACAGTACTAAAGAGCACCAGAATATTTTTAAGCTTAACGATAAACACCCTAGTGTCTGTTGCGGAATTCTACCCGTTTAAACCTGTTGGAGCGGTCTGCAGCTGCGTGTGTCGTGCATTGTGTCGTGTGAATGACGCGCTAGACGTCGTGAATTGGAAGTTTGCCAACGGACGACACAACTCAGGCCTCGTAGTCAGTTCACTGTGTGTTTGCGTGGATTGCCGACTGCTGGGCTGTGAGATAGGCTCAATGGCTCATTCTTAATGTGGTCTCCATGACATTTTCACGCATGCGAAATCTGGGCCACCCATCACCTTTGTGTGAAAACCCAGGGTGTGACGACACACAACGCAGGAGGCCACCAACACTTACAAATGACGGCCAGTAGACCAAGGCCGCGAAATAAGAAAAAAATCGATCAGCCCAAAGCCAAATAATCCGACTACATATTCAAAATTCTGATCGATTTTTGCACTAGGGGTTTTGATAATGGGGCGTCGCGGAAGCTCTTCGAAACGTCAGCCAAACAATTCCCTCGATCCAGTGACCTCTTCTCTTTCCTCAAGTTAGGAATAGGTCTGTTTTAATGAAAAGGGCTGGAAATCGGCGCCACGAGATTCAAGGCGCCTGAAACCTCAACGGAGAGGCAAATATGCTCAGCATCGGTTGTTTTACAAGGTTCTTGCGCGTCGAAGACAGACTACGAGAGTAATTTAACAAACTGTGCGGATCACGCAAACACACATCCCGAAAGTGATCTCCAGTAAGGCACATATGAGTAGTACACGGGCAATGCGTATAGGTTCAGGTCAGCTCAGTCAAAAATTGCACCATCAACGTCAGATTTGCCAGAGACTATAGCTGACAGTAGGCGGCGTTAGATTTCCACTGTCCACAGAATTATCGGAGTTCGTTTCGTCGACTGTGTTCTCAACAAACGTTTCTACTATCGGTGGGGGACAAAATCTCCCATCGTAGTGGCTTACAAACTCTGTTTTGAGCTTGCTGAAGTATATGGAAATCACGACTGAACACCTCTCGACTATTAACGTCGCCCTGTAGGTCGCGCAACGACGCAAACGGATGCGATGACAGCGCACGCCGAAAGTTCAACTAAATGGAAGAAGATGAGGCCCACCGATTGCTATCATGGGCAAGGAGTGGATATATATATGTGCCCTATGAAATGTACCAGACTGAACAACAGAATGCTTGCCGGCAGCAGCACCAATTGGTCGCTAAAAGTAGCCATAGTAGTCTGCCGAGCACTATTCACACGAAATATTTGGGCGCAAGAGTACGTCAAGGGACGATACTCGACAACAGTTTGTCTTTTCTGTCGCACCTACTGGCACCCACAATCCACAAATATTTGAGCATGTATGAACATGGTTTTGGATCGTCTTAGTGAAGACAGGTCGAATAGATGCAACGGAATTTCACGCTTATTCCCCACAACAGGCAGTGATCGTGTTTTGTAACCAATAAACATTTTCCGTCTGGGCGGGTCAAGAACTGCACGAGCCGGTTTCACGAGTTAGCTTCCACTATATTTTCGACTTTTGTGCTCCAGAAAACAAAAGATTGTCCGAAAACAAAATTACACGGTTCAATTCTAGGCTTCCTGGCGCCGGGAGGTACTCCAGCCGAGGCGCGAGTTACCCGCAATCGGGCAGTTGGTTAAATCAGCCAGAAATAATGAATCTCAAAAAAACCCAGGTCAGGAGTGTGGATGAAGGAAGTACTTACTAGGTGAGCTCTTTGTTCTTGATGATCGGAAAGGAAGAAAAATTCCCGTAAATAAGCACAAAGTGAAGCGTAAACATAACTATTATCTGTAAAGCTACAAAATTAAAAGTTAACATCAAGTTTGGCGCACTTTAAATTTGGCCCATATTTTTATTAAAAAATGCCCTTTTCACTTAAAATGTTCTCCACTAATACCTGGAATTCAACAGGTTGGAATATACTTCCAAAAAATGATACGAATTAAACAGGAAAATTAGAAATCCAATTATTACGCCCAAAACCTGAGTAGGACTGGTTAACTGTACCCTAGATCGGCATCCGTTATTGCGGCAATGCATTGCCGAATACATAAATGTCCGTCTTGAGTGAATCACTTGTTGCAGAGCGATTTTCGCGAAAGTAGTATTTGCTGCAAATCGACTATAGACACTTCAATATTCTTCATTAGCAAAGGAAAGTCAAAACATTTAAATAATTACACCGTGCCATTGTTAGCGACAACACTCCCTATAGTTTGCATATAACTGGAGATTGCTCATCATTTTAAGAGTGTTTTTGAAGAATTCAAGAGGATTCGAAGTGGTCATTTCTGGCTTAATAACCAGCCAGGACGAAGAGATCTAAGGTTTGAATCCGGGTCAGCTCACGGTCGAAAATTTAAGCCGAAACCTTATTGCTTGAGACTCCAATCCACATTCTGCCAACTGTTATCGAGACTATTTGAGGTCAACCAAAACTGCTGGTCGGTTAATCTTGACTGTAAAATAAAATTCAGATAATTCTAGGCTGCCTAGGCGCGCCATTTTACGACTCTAGCAGGTACTCGTATAATGATGAGCCTGGTCTTCGCGCTTTCAGAACTCATTTGCCAGCCTGTTGAACGTGCGAAGCAGACCAAATTGTCGAATTGGTAAGGACAGTGGACAGATAAGCAGACGAACTGGGAATAGGCCTGCATAGCCAGTTAAATGCAGGTAATATCGATTTTTTTGCAGACAATGCCGAAGCACCAATAGTCCGGGGGTAGTGCACCCTATCCGAATACGGGGGTTGCCGATTTGCGTATAGCTCGCTGTCTGCCCCCAAAACGGACCACGTGTAAGATGCGCTGGACCAACACGGGGGCCACATAGGATTCTGGCAGGCGTTATCTTTGCGTAATAACAAATGCCAACATTTACGGGCTGCGCTGGCAGACTCTGTTGTCGCCAGTCTTCGCACAATCGGGACCACTGCCACCACCCCATTGTTCTGTTGGTCAAAATCCTGGTCATTGTTGTGTGGACCAGAGGGTGCGGAGTGGAGGGCCAAGGTGAGGATCCGTCCAAGCCATCCACCTGTGGTCTCTCTCGTCTCCGGTCTTCTTGACTCTGTCTCGTCACCGGGTCCAGGCGGGGGAGAAGAAGAGAGCGTGGTAGATGCAACGCAAGTCTACAGGCACAATGAGCCCCTGTGCAAGTCACCATCCCTGTCCCACCATCTGTTGTGGGGCATATGGTGGACATCGTCAGATGCGACGGTCGAACTATAGGTCGCTACAAAATTTATCCAGCTGTAGGAGTTTTCAGATTCTTAAAGTATAACGAGCAACCGTAGAACATTTGCATTTCTATCAGCTAGCAACCAATACTCTACCCTTTTGATAACAAATTGCTTTAAATCATAAGTAAAAATTAGTCTGATTCGACCAAATCTGTCAAACTAGTGCCATAATCGCAGCTCAAGATTCGGCGGCCCATGAAAGCGACTCAATGTTGGTAGTATTTTGACTGGCATTAGAAAGTAGCGACATATTTTGGACTAGTGGGAAATTTCTGTCGTTCGAACGCAAAACGTAAATGATTGTTCAGGATGATTATCTAGAAAAACTGTGATTTCCTATAGTGTCTTTCCCAAGCAATGCTACATGAGCAACAATTTGAGCGTTTATGATTTTATCAAGTCTACTTTAAAATGAAAATAATTCGAAAAAAACGTCAAAGTAAAACCCCGTTTTTCAGATGAAAATGCCAAATCGCATTTCCTGTGATATATTGAGTTTCAGAAAGGTAATGTCGAAATTTATGTTTGACTCATGAGAAAGAAAAAGAGAAAAGATACGACAATCAAATTTACCCGCTAAATGTGTTTGGACTCCTGGCCTAAAATGTCAGATTAGTAGACGCCAGACTGAATTTACCGATGGATCAGAGTCTAGAACATAAAGAGACAGGGACAGAATTGTAAATCTTATGTTGTCATCTTTCTGATCTTGAAAGTTTAAGCTTATTGTGACACAAGAGCTGGGGAAGTGTCTAAAAAGTAAAGCCAGATAGAGAACTGCTATAAGATAAAACTGAAGATGTTTATAAATTAACTAAAAGCGCACGTTTCAGGGGATGTTAAAGAAATCGATCAACAGTGCACTGCGTTTGAGGGAGTGGACTGTGAGTTCAACATTTTAACAAGTTAGTGTGACACCAGATAACACAAGTTCTGCTTTTAAAGGACATCCTCCAATCACGAATTCCCGAAGGCATAGTTCGTTCTCTAACTTAAGGTAGGAGCGACTTTTAGGCATGCGGTCGACGGAAATATCAAAGCCGAGTTACCCGTAGACTGACAAGCTACGTGTACTTTGATGCAGCAGAATTAATTCCCATCTACAGTAGCTGGCCCATCTCATGAAGTTTTGGCCGAAACGCTGAACCATATTTTCGATTAAAGAAGATTACAAAGATTGGATTGTTATAGTGAATATCTTCTAGCTGAAATCCAATATACCCAGTCACTCCGGTACGAAGACTTTGAGTGAGTTCCCTGTCCCTTGAGAAAACCAAATTCATTAGAAAATGACTTCTTAAGCAGCAAGCATTTCACCGCTTGTTTTAATGGTCTTAGAGATTCAAATACGTTTTATGAAAAAAAAACAATCAAGGAGTTAATTGTTGCACTCATTTTGCAGAAAATTACTTCTCAAAATTTTATGCCTGAAGAAAGAATACATTTAGATTGTAAAGGTATACAATCATGAGGTTTTTGAGGGCCGTGAACTGTCAATTCCTACAGCGCCGTATCTGTCGTTTTGCTTACACTAATTACGGAGCCTACAACATGGTCCTCCTTCATTTGTAAAATTAAGTGGGCTCTTTTTGACCCATTCTTAATAATGGATAGAAATATATGATTTTACGTACACGGAATGTGCAAAAAATGCAAGTGTAATCGCAGGTTAGATTTAAAGGCGTTTAGGAATAAGTTTTTTTAAAACAAATAGACAGCCATTATTCAGATATTAAATCCACAGAAAACTTAATTTTCCACCAAATAAACACAGATGAGATATTTTTGTGTAAGTTTATAAAGACATCAAAAATCTGTGAGAAAATTCACACCAATTTAGTAGTCATTTTTGGAAGGTCTAAACATCTACACTAGCAAATGTGCTTCAACACATTTCGGATTAAGGGTTTTTATGCTGCCGGAAAAAGGTAAATGATATCATCGCCTACAGAAAATTGTATATGTTAAAGCAATCTTACATAAGTTTACTTGGTAAAGGTCAAAACTGACAAACCTGCAAATGGGCGGGATGACGGAGGACTGAAAAAATAAGCGGTGGTTATTTGTCAGAAAGTTAACCAAACAAAAGTAACCGCACGACAATAGAATGAGGAAAAAAGTTAGATTAATAAAGGAGCATGTGCATTGGTGTCAAGTTACAAAGTGCGTAGATTCTCAAATCTATGAAATAACGTTCCTTCGCATGCAACAACACTAACAGTAGAGAGTTGTCGCTTGAAAAACCAATACACAAGGCAACCAGAAGGGAAAACTGACTTCTTGTATCGGGGAAAAGGCAAATAGAATCAGTCCTGAAAAATATTGCTCTCGAAGAAAAGAGAAGTGCCATCGACACCATCGATCTACATCCTAGGTGCCATGACTTATGGGCAGGAATGAAAGAGCAGTATAAATTTTTCGGGACCGTTTAAAATTTTGACTATTCTTGGGCCTTTGCCTCAAGACGACCCGAGGGACTGGAATGGTTATTTCCCCCTTCCTGGCTGTCATCAGCCGATCATGCCCAGCCTTGTGCTATGCAACCTCAGTGGCTCCAAAACGACGAGCCCGTGGCTCAATGATGAAGGTTTTGTATTCCTTATCTACGGGTTGCGAGTTCGAGCCTCGAGGGTTGCATATTGCAGGATTGGGTGCGGTTTGCAGATAACTGCTTATGAACTAGAAATGGCCATTTCAGTTCTCCTTGTCTTTGCTTGTGATGCTGTTTTACACAGACTTCACATTCTTACTTTTGAAAGCGGAAGCAGCCATTAGGTTTCAAATAACGAGGTTGTGGTGTCTGGAGTTGTTTGCTGGATCTAAGGCAAATTGACAGGAGAAACGGAGAGTTACTTCGGACTCGTTTGCCTGGACAAGCTTAGGGGAAGTGACGCCCAATTTCACGTCACACGGCAGAAGACCAAGCCAAGTGATGGTTTCGGGTCTGCATAGCAGCTGCTTTTTCCGAAGGTTGCCTGTTTTCTTGCGTGACGTTTCGAGCATGAGTTCAAAGTTTCAGGCAAACGAAGTTCATTTTCTAGCGACAAGGGCTCCTCTACAACTATTTCAAGCCTTTTAGCATACATATAAGTCCCAACAGACAGTTCGATGGTCGTTGTCGACGATGTCCACCGTAGGCCTCAGAGTGGGGTGGAGCAGGGACGGTGACCTGTGAGTGAATTAGTTTATAATTATGGTAGAATTTCACAGCATCTTCCCCATTCTCTACTCCTCCTAGAGGTGGGGGGGGGGGATAATCGTAGCAGAGGGTACCTGCATCAGACATAGAAGATTTGATAAATTGAACGCTGGTGTTCCATCGGATTACAAAGCATGAAATTCAAATGCTTGGTTGATTTTGTTAAATTATCCTTTTGCAGAACCAACTTGAAAAGGGAGTCAACATAAAATACATTGGTCTGATAAAATAACGCATGCGTTGGTCACGGGTTCTTCGTTTTAACATTGCGTAGTCAGTGAACAATAAGAAAAGACGTCTTATTCACTGTAGCGTTTCTTATGAGTAGACCGAAGTGGTCGCGTATGAAAGAACCCTCTCTATCACGATAGGTCTACAGTTCTGCTAAATACGACGGCATAAGTGACGTTAACTTAAGGGAAATGAACGTTGGACAAAGGGTCAAAAGTGGAGTGCGTTAACCTTTGTAAAAAGTCTATGGACTCGATCCAAGTAAATTGCTTAAACGTTAACGAAACGAGAAACCTCTGGAAGGTTGCATTGGGTTCTTATTTATATTCACAAAAAACTTACGGTGGCGACTTGACGGGAGGTGGCTCATTGGTAACTTGAGTAAATAAAAGCAAAAAAGCAAAATTCAAGCAGCTTGTTGATCATTAATGAGGTACAATTTGATGAAAGGTATAAAGGTCACAAGAACTTGTATTTTATACTCATGATCCCAAAAGGAATGGTTGACTCAGATACTCACGTTTTCAAATCTCAGCAAGGCAGACATGAGTACGCGGTTTTGAACTGGCAACATCTTAAGACGAAGAAATATTCCCTGTCTTTGTGGATTTTCTAACAATGACACAAAGGACTGCAGCGCAATGGGCAGCCAGATAGCCTACATGTCCTGTGATTTTGGGTCTGATTAGAGGTCACTGGTGGCAGCAAACAATTGAAAGCCGGCTATTCAGTTAGGCGTTTCAGATTCGAACGGGCGCGAATTCTGGGAACAATAAAGCGCCCGCCTATCTATTAAGCCCAAAACAACGAGGAAATTGCACACCTGGAGGATACGGAGATCACACATGTCCCGTCCCCAGCGCCGGTAAGATTGAGCCTGTCTGTCCCCTATTTGGGAGCTACTCAGAGCGTGCACAGGTGTAAGACAGTGAAGTGGCCTTCAGTGAAAGCAGGCTGTCTGCGAAATGAATAGGTTTCGATGCTGGGAAATAGGCAACCTTGGAGAGTGCATCGCTTATACAAATCATGAAATGTTGACTGCAATTTTGAAATATGTTTTTGATTCCAAACAAGTACACAGGCAGGATTGTAATGTTAAATATCTTGTCTCATTTTGTTACGATATTCCAGTCACATCTGAATGCCGGCTTTTGAATAAGTTTCTTATCGATCGCACGAATAAACTACTTCCATAAAAATAACCACTTAGGTACCATGACTCGTTCCCATTGATTTTCTGAGACTTATAAATTCAAGTAGATTTTATTGAAAACATGTACAAAAATTTTCTTTCTTTGAATCGCTTGGTAGGGAATTACGCCTTTTTAAAATGTTGCGTTTGAGGAAAGAGCATATATCGGTTTATAAAAAATTATCGATTTTCGAATAATTTTGAACTCGGCTTGCCGTTACACTCCCATTCAGTTTCTAAACTAAAATCTGTATACTTTTCGGTAAGTAATACCGTGCATTTCTGTATGTCGTTATAAAGAGGACGTATAAGGCTCATAAAAGTTTTTAATGAGCGTGGACTGGGTATTCCTTTTTTATAAGCTGAATTTACAAATCTGTTGATGCGATGCTGTACGACTGGACAGTTCACGGTCTTGAAAAATCCCATAATTAGAAAGTTTTTGAAATCGAAGGATATGCTTTATTCAAGTATTAAATTTAAAGAAGACGTAATTTGATACCAAATGTGTAAAAGAAACAATATTTTTGTGAATGTTATCTATAAAATATATTTCAATTTATAAAGGTATCGAAAATCAATTGACAATTTCATTCCACTTAAGTAGTCACTCTTTACGGAATAAAGCTTGTGCAGGCGGTCAATAAGGAGCTTATTCGAAGGCCGACATCCTAACACGACTGGAATACCCTGTATTATGCGATATGGTAATTAATATTACAATGTTACTTAAGTAAACTTTTCGAATTGAAAATACATTTCAGAATTTCTGTCACAATTTCACAACAAAGCACATCTTCTGTATCTCCAAAGTTGTTTGGCACTGATTGTCTGCCGTACAGCAAGGCTTCACTTGCCGTCAACTGTGACTTATGGAGTATCTAAAGTGTGTGTCCAGGTGCGGATGGAAACGGTTCTTTTCGAATCCAAAAACTGAATAATGCTGGCCCCTTCAAACAATCACCCTTCAGTAAGTTGTAGCCTAAGGTCTCTAATAGAACTATTCATGGGGCGTCAATGGCACTGAAGTGAACAATCTTCCCACCAACGGCAACAGTACCGCTTATTTATACCACTGCTGCGCCTAGCGATATTCCTCTGTCAAACAAAAGTAGCGCCTGTGCCGCAAGTTCGCTTTGTATTCAACGGTCAGAGGTGACTTGTAGGATTTAGTAGTGATGGGAGCTGTTTGCGATTAAAGAAAACAAACAGAGTGGGGCGCAAGACGAGTGCACTGAGGGGTCGAAGGAAGACAGCGGTCGTAAGATACTGCGGAGCCTGGAGATACAGTGAGTGGCCGATCTAATGAAATGTTGGCCGAAATTCTGAAATGGGTTTTCGATTAGGAGGGATTACTTGGGCGCGGTTCTAATGTTAATTATCTTGCGACATAATCTTATAACATTTCAGACTCGGCAGGATATCTGCTTTTGAATTCTTTGCTTTTCAATCTTTTACAGAAACCGCACTCGGTGAAAAACGACTACTTAAGTAGCATGCATTTTTCCCATTGATTTTCGACGGCTTTGCAAATTCAAATATATCTTATAGGAGCCATAAACAAATATACGCTCTCTTTAAGTTGTTTTATAGAGAATTACGTCTTCTTTATATTTTATACTCAAGGAAGAAGTGTAATTAGGTTTTGAAAACGTTTCTAATTATGAAATTTTTAAGACCTCACAATGTTCATCCACATAGCATCGTACCTGGCCGTTTACCACAGCTCCACATGAAATGTACAACATAGTCTGCATCGATTGCAAAATTTTATGAACTCTGTATGATATCTTCTTAATGGAATAGAAAAATCTGTGATTTTCTTTAAGCTGAACGAATGCACCTTACAGACTGAAATTCCTAAGCGCTAATGCAACGAATGATCAGGCTCCAAGTTATTCGATAATTAGAAAATTTTTTAAAACCTAATTATACGCCTTCCTTGAGTATAAAATATAATAAACGTGATTCTCTATTAATTGACTGATATAAAGCATATTTTTGTTTATGGTTTCTATATGATATCTTCGAATTTGCAAGAACATCGAAAATCAGTGCGAAAATGCATGTTACCTTAGTGGTCATTTTTTTTACCAAGTACGGCTTCTCTATGAGTTTGAAAAGCAGGGTATTCAAAAGCTGACATCCTGCTATTTCGAAATATTATAGAATTATGCCGCAAGATAATCATTATTTCAATCGCGACCACGTAATCCTTTCTAATCGAAAACGCATTTCAGAATTTCAGCCAACGTTCCATGAGATCGGTCACTCACTGTAAGTCACGGCTTAATCGCATACATTCCTCATCATAATATGGCTATGGTTGTAATCAGTTAATTCTGTTGGTCAATCAATCTGATTAAGAAAAGGATGCGAGTTCAGGTTTAATCTTTAGAAAATAATAAGACGCCAACAGAGCTGATTGAGGAAAGTGTGATTGGCACCCTAGAGCAACTAGATGTAAAGCACAGGGCTAGCCATTGTGTTCTTGAGTCCAGACAGTAGTTACAATAACAAAATGCTGCTGGCCTTCCGGTACCACTAGGATGCAGGATACAACATAAACTGTGAAAAATAACATGCGCAGCCTACGGTGATGCAGAGGGACAGATCCATGTAAAATACACTCTTGGTAAGTTCTGCCTACCAAACAGTCAGCCCATAGGTAATATAAAGCGGATCTACAAACTGTTGAAGGACAAGAGCGGCAAGGATTGTTCTGGGCCATCCCCACCTGAAGCTACAACTTTTTCGCATCGTCTTTGTTTACTCATCTGAATGCCACTGGGGTTTTGAGGAAAGGCCTCAGTTCCCCTCTTATGAAAAGGCTCGTTAAAGACTGTAAATGATACTGCAGTTCAGAACATACTTTGCGTTACTACATATCGAAATTTTACATCGGTTTATGGTTTATTGAACGAAGAAAAAAAATAGCTGCGGTCCTGCGTATCCACGCATTTTCTTGTTCTACGTTGTGTGATGCGTAGATTGTATGAATGGACCCATTTTGAAAACCGTACAAGAACAATGGCCCTTCCGGCTGCACCGGGGATAGTTTGGCTCCACCACTATCCTGCCTCATTTAATAAACACTTATTATCAAACTTTACTTATTCGGTAGAAAATCCCGTCTTCTTCCAATTTCATACTCAAAAGAAGAGTATAATTCGGTTTTAAAAAGTTTCCAATTGTGAGATTTTTTAATACCGTTAAATGGCCGTTCATGAAACGTCATGTATCTGCACTTACTAATATGGCTTGTAAAACTAACAATATTGCTCAAATCCACTGCTTAATTTTATGAACCTCATATAGTCTCCTCTTAACACCGTAGAGAAGTGCATGGTTTTCCGTACACGGAAAATATACAGCTTGTAGCTTTGAAACCCTGAATGCAAGTGTAACAGCAGGTCGGGTTCAAAATTATTCGGGAATTAGAAAAGCTTTTTAAAACCAAATTATAATCTTCTTTTGAGTATTAATTTGGAAGAAGACGTGATTTTCTACCGAATAAGTAAAAGAACGAATATTTTATGCATGATTTCCATGAAATATAATACAATTTTCGAGTTCATCGAAAATCAATGAGACAATTGCATACTACTTAAATAGTCATTTTTTGCAGAGTGTAGATTTTGCATGCAGCCGAAAATAAGTTCTTTCGAAAGCCGACACCCTGAGGTAACTGGATCATAATAGACTTATGCCGCATCGTGATTAGTTTTACAACACTACTTATTTTATCTTTTCGAAACGAGAACGCATTTCGAAATGTTGGTTGACATTTCATGAGTTAGCACATCTACTGTATTTACCATGCTTGTTACAAGTTAGAGCCAGAACTACCTGGAAATCTCTCACTAGGCAGTGTTAACCCTCGCGACGATCAAAACCCTTTAGCACCCAAAAGATACCTGCCGGGTGCAGGTCGAGTTAAGTGTGCTTTCACTGAAACAGCCCGGCATCACAATAATCGACTTATGAGAATTTTCGGAAGAAAAGACAGGTTTACAGAATTTGCCTGCTAAAATTGACTTTTACAAATAATACGGAAAATATTTGAGGACTTACCGTCAGAATAGTATTCGCCTATAGAAAGCTTGATAAATGATGTCGAGAGTATTAACTTTTGGCAGAATGGACATCTGGGATCTTTCTAGTTTTGAAAAAAAGGAAAGACGTTAGATGGGTTGACAGTAAAGAAGACCACAAATCAAGAGCTTACTTGTTTTATATGAAGATCGGTAAGAAAAGTGTCATTTGTCTTTTGCTCCCGATATGCTTTGCGTACAAACCGTTTTAATCGCTCAGAAACTCTTTCTACGAAAGGAAGGGGATAATAAAAGGGTTCTGGCAGATTAACTGCAAGCTTGCCAGACCTAGAACTCGAGGTCCTGTCGGTTACGTTTAAACTAAAAGACAGTTTATGTATTTATGCTTTAAATCTTTGGTAAAGCACGAATGGTTACTTTGTAAAATCTTATGAGCTGTCCTTAAAAAATGAGTACAAACAAATAAGTTTTCAATGACAGATACTTATCATCTGTCCTGCCGACAAAATCACCTGGCATTCTCAATGCGTACTGTGTGTCTGGGCAGGAAGCAAGGGTTTCTGTGTTGGGCCTGGGGATCTGAACACCCCCAACATACAGGTGGCCTTGCACTGGATTCTCGAGGGGGTAGTCATTTTTGAGTCCCGACCCTTAATTCTAACCACGAGATCGATAGTAGCAACTCTAATCCTAACCAGAAACCTTCAAACCATGACCCTATCTCCCACTGGAATTTAGCTTAATGTGGGGATCTTTATTCCCGTGCAATACAGGTTTCTGGCACTATGAAAAAACGTCTGCTGGATGTTAGAGAATGTCGGAATGCTGATAGAAAGCTTAGTCTCATGTGTCGCTAAGCAGACAAGTATGTACTCAGCACACTGCACGCACCGAAATTTTTCAATATGCTTTAAAGTGGAAAATAGTAGTTAAGTAAAATTTTAAAACCGGTCGGCAGCAACACCCTGAGGCATGACAGATCATCTTTCCAGTTGCGATGACCATATAAAGTTGACAACGTGTTACTGAAAAAAAACACTCATTCTGTAGAAGCCGTAGCTTCCTTGAATTTGAGTTTAAAAGAAAGGGAGTATTTTAACTTTCAAAAATGCTGCTATCATAAATGTTCGTGATACACTTGCGTAATAACCTGTGCAGTAGACTGCGCCTAGGTTCAGGTATGCTGCTATCGATGAGTGTAACGTGATCCATGCATATAGCAATAGTGGATGGGCTGTATAAGCTTTTCGTTTCTATATTACAGCCAAAATAATTGTTACTTACTTATTCAACAGTAGCAAAAACGTTGCTTTTCAAAATATGCAGGTCTTGGTAAACCGACTAACTTTTCTCCTCTAGTATCGGATTTGAGAAGGGTGTGGGTCTCTTTATGGTTTGTATGCGAATATGTTGTTTTGTATTCTCACTTCCAACTAGGGAGTTAAAACCAGAACATAGACGAATAATTTTCATTCTGTATTCACGGTAGGCGTATGGATGATGTTGTTCTTTTAAAGGATTATTTCAACGTTTGAAAATGAAAATTTACCCTTTTGGAGGGGAGGGTGTTCATTCACACGGTGTGTGTTCGTGTCTGCCCGACGCAACCACCCCGCATATTCATATTGACCCAACTGTGAAAAACTCGGCCCATCGGTGGGATTCGAACCGACGCAGGAAGGGGAAGGCTTTAGTACAGCCAACGCTCTAACCACTTGAGCTACGAGGCCCCGCCGGACGACGCGAGTTTAATCACATTTGGGTCAAGTTTACCCGCCCAACCTACTGCAACGTCTGGAATCCACCAAATCTGATACAGTAAGTTGACTGCCTAGACAGGGTTTCCTAAGTAATTCACCTCCAATCCACCAGATGACTACCAGGCTTACGCATACGTTTTCTGTATTGTTGATGCACCTTCTTCCTGACATTAAACTCTTTCGTGTATGGAAATGCTGGCAAGGTGGAGAGACTGGTTAGTTCTGACTTATTTGACATCGACCGAGAAGATATGAGGCTTAAACCCGGATAATTTGGCGTCGAGAGTTGGAGCAGTGTTCCACCATTTAAAAAATAAACGTGCGAATTTTGGACTGTGGCCGTGTATATTCGTAGTCGCCTGGAATGGTGCTTCACAAATACGAATGCGGGAGGGAATACGCTTGTAACGTTATGTCTTGAGGTCTAAAAATAGGGCCGTCACAGGATGTCACATAGCTGATTTGACCAATAGAATGATCTCTGGATGCAACCTTCAACAAATATTTCCCAGCATGAAGTCAGTAGTTTATTGTTAGCAAGCAGCTCAAACAAAGGCGCAGGGTTACTTGCTCCAAAATCTGAGAAATATTGTAGAAAGGACAAAATAAGTGGCATTTAGCAAGTCATTTCGGGAGACTTACAGTTCTGAGAGCCTCCGACTGAAGATATAAAAAATGCAATGGAATGTGAGGTGTTTTGTGAAATTAACAAACCTTACACGAAACATAGTAATCTTTCCAGAAATTAAACTAAGATGTGCTCGGACCTGCATTTCATTGTTTTTTCCAGAATACCATGTTTTTCTGCAGCACTTTGTCCCTCTAAAAAGGGCCAGTGCCCGTAAATGCGCTGGACCGACGCGCGGGCCAGTCTGGGGTTCGGCAGTAGTTCACGGGGGAACGCCCGCCCACAACAAATGGCAAAATTTGATGTGTGGCGCCCCGCCCTGGGCAGGCCCATGCCGCATCAGTTGGGATTCGAGTCATACCCCTTTTTGGAGTTGGAAAAACTCCCATAGCAGTATTCAGAAGACGAGGTGGCGAGCATACGTAGCTTTCGATAAATTCTCGTTGGGCCAGTAGAAGTAAAAACACGTCAGTGATTAAAGTTCGCCTTAAAACCCAGGCTGGGTGTGAGAATGTGGGGGGGAGGGGTAATAGCAGTCACTTCAAGGGGGGGGGGGGG